CTGAAGGCATATCGATTTCATTTTCTCTAGTTTCTGCATTGAACAAAGTCATTGTTGAGCAATGGGAATTCAAGAGTAGCAAGCACTTTCAATCAAAGCTAAATCATGATTCATAATTCAAGGTGCACTGCGGAGAGTGTAAAATTCAATGAGATGTACGGAATGCTTTAGCTCTAGAAAGTAGAGGTAATGTCGACACAGAGAAAATATAAAAGCAATGTCAAATGGGTAAATTCATGAGTCAGATAAAGTCAATGAAATCACAAAACGTAACACTTGTACTTTCAAATACCATAGCCGACTTGGAGATAGATTAATTAATTAACAAAAAGATGTGTGTACCTACCCACGAAGTAATTACATATCAGTAATGCATCATACCTTGAGAAGAACGGGTGACAGAAGCAAACATTCCCTCAAGCACTTCTCAAGAAAAAAGTCATGGTATTGTATGACCTGCAACATAGAGTTAGTAGAGATAGAAATGTATTACAAGTTAAATGCATTTCAACTTCTGTTCTTACGGGAAGCATGAATTAAAAAGTACGATGAAGAGGGGAGCCTTCTACCTCGTCAATACTCTTTGCAGTTTGAAGTCTATTATGCATGACATGCCAATTCGGCTCAAGAACCTGAAAGCCGTCATAAAAAGGATAAAAATAATAATAATAATAATAATAATGTATAAAATAAGATGAGCCATCACGGCCAGCACATCAAACATGTCGAGGAAAACAGAGAAAGGGGGACCTGCCTCAAAAGTCAAATAATGTAGAAGGCTATTGATAAACTTAAGCATATTCCGGCACAGCAAGGATGAGACAGAAATTGCTATTCCTTGCATATCAAGTCTACGAAGACCCTACAATATGCATCTCCGGAAATTGTCAGAAAGGAGAGTAACCATTAGAGATTATAAATTAAGTTTCAAGCACCATACTTGATGTAATTGCCATGCTGCACAAAGCTGCCGATTCACATGCTTGCAGTGAAATAGAAACCGAAATATTAACTGATATTTCGTTAAAGCTTTTCTTGAGATAACGAGGGATAATGGCCATCGGACCTGAAATAAAATATACTCAACATCAACATCAACATACCCAGTATATTCCCAACAGGTTGGGGTCTGGGGGGTCAGTTGTACGCAGACCTTACCCTTGTAATTATACAAGGATGAAATAAAATATACTCACTTCATTAAAATGATAATAAATGGAATGAATTATTACAAGATCGTACAAAGTCAGCAGACCACTTCAATCAATTGCCTAAATTATCATGCTCCTAGAAAGCAATATTTGAACTATGTACACAACCCCATATTGAAACTAACACTGCTTTTAGTGAAACCTTTTGGAGAGAAAACTAAATATAAACAAATCAAGAGTGTGTTGTGTGTTAAAGGGTATACAAACCTTGAAACTCAATGAAAATGTTTCCAAGCCTGTAATGCTCACAGGTTCTTCTAGTTCATTGCTGCTGGAAACAATCTGTTTCATTTGAAGATCTTTGAGCGTACTCAGCCTTTTTAACAGAGTGGTTTTGTCCTGTAATAATGTTATTTTGTCAAGCAAGTGGCATCATATGGTCCCATGTCATACACTTGTGACCTCATAAAAAAATATAACACTAACCACACAACATGTTAAGTCCTCATGACATGGATCTGCTACAGCTGCTGTAGATCGCAAAGCAAGGTCCAGGAGAGACTGAACAGAAAGCAGTTTGTATAAGCAATATGCTAGTGAAATAATATTTTAACTCACAAAAGATCAAAATAGTTACTCTTGCAAATAATATGTGCATAAAGACACACCTGCAGCTTTTCAGCAGAAATCTCATCCGGCTTTTTCATGAGCTCCTCGCGAGCTATATCCATGAAGTGAACCAAAAAGTCACCCTGCAACCTCAATTGAAATGAGAAAAATGGGTGTGGAGCATAGTGCGAAAATATAAATAGCATCTCAAAAATCTACAGAGTTAGAAATGGCTTCAAGTGTTGTCAGTACAATCTTCCTGAAAAGTTATATCACAACCCTACAACAACGACATACCCAGTATATTCCCAACTGGTTGGGGTTTGGGGAGTCAGTTGTACGAAGACCTTACCCTTGTAATTTTACAAGGAGGCTGTTTCCGTAGCGACCCAAGGTGCATTGCTCGTTTGATATAATTTTTTTCTAGAAACTTCACTAATAGAAGAAGCACTAGAATTTAATAATTTAGTTATATCACAACCCTACAAAACAATAATTTAGTTACAAGAATATAACCACAAACTAATAGCTATGACCTAACAAATAATGCAGACCTAGCTCTGGACGATTAGGCAGATGTTGAAGTATTTGCAGCCTACATCAAGTACGAAACAAATAACAAACAACTAACAATTGGCCCTAACGAATAAATGGATGGCTGTCTATAAGAAAAATGTTTCCGTTCTCTCCACAGCTGGTACTTTTGTAAGAAAAAAATAAATAAATCAAAGTTGTTCACCAAGCAATATAATCAAGTAGTTCACTGGAGCATCATGGTACTGCAAAATACTTTTGTATCCAACAAATTGACTAATATACATCAAAAAAATTGTGCATAGCCATACCTGATCAAGAAGCAAATAGTGCTTGATTGACCTCAGTTTCCCCATTAAGTCATACTGCCAGTAACACAATAAAGAATCATCAAAAATTTGAAGTTTAAGCAGTGGAGGACAGCAATCAAAACTGTCACAAAAAAGAACTGCAGACCTTTTCTTTTATGAGATTCAATAATTCACCACTAGCAAAATCATAAGCAGCTTTGATGCACTCAAGGTATCGATGATTAGACCCAACTGTCGTCAA